GCGGAATTTGTTTCATTTCAACCGACTTCACCATTAATTCCCTACCTCATTTGAATTTCAAATATTACTGAATGAATTAAGATAAAAGCGAAAATCCAGGAAAAGAACATGACCACCTTTCCGGGTGGACCATGTCAATTGGCGTATAAATCAATCAATGAATCGCTGAAGTGTGACATTTAAATGGCTCAACATTTCCAAGGGCAATATACATCCGTGAATTAACGAGTTCCAAGAACACCAAAAGCGAATAGGACACACAGAAACATCGTGAACACGATCTCAAAAAATGAAGGGGCAGTTTCATTTTCCATTACATTTGAATGTCACACGTTTGAGATAAACATCTATGAAACGAACACCAAAACGATCCATGACACCTACCGAGATCGAAGCAAACATCATAAGTGCAAAGAATCAACTATTGCATAGTGGAAAAAAAAGTGAGATGAAGTGGAAGCTTCTAATGAACTTCTATCGAATTTGTAATGCAAAGTCCATGAGAAATGTAAGAAGCAATGTATTGAGTGAGAAAGGGTTGAAATATGAGATGTGCATAGGGGAAAGATTGCCAGCTGAAGATTTTACTAGGGAAGTGGTGAAACCATTCAAGTGACTTGAATCTTGGTTAAATTTTTGAGAAATATCTCTGAATCTAAGGGAGATAGCGAAATTTTCGTCATGACCTTTTTTGCAGAGGGAGTTGAGAGCTACAAAAAAGGTTATTACAAAACTTTTGCTATCTGTCTTCGATTCTGAGATATTCATTGAAAACTGACCTAGCCAAAATGAATTTGAGCCGTTTTACCGTTTCTAGACGAATCTCGAGATGTGTAAATATTTTTAAGTTATGTACAAACTCGTTTGCACTTGACAAACATTTGTGCATATGATTTTAACTCTTACACCTTTGAAAATTCCCTAAATTGAATCTTTCGCTGGAGAATATTCCGTTAATTTCAGCTTCATGAAAAGTTTGTGATCTACTACAATTCGGATCATCATTGTTTGCAAACAAATATTGGAATTTTGAGTTTATGATAAACGTTTCACTATGCTCTACTTTTACACCGGAAATTTTTATCTTTGGCATATATTTTTGTCATGGGGGTACTTCGCAATGAATCTGCAAGCTCTAAGCACATCTAAAGCATAAAAAATGAAATTTCATGGCCAGTTCACTAGTAATTTTTAGGAGTGATATTGAATTCTATTTAGAGGAAAATTCATGAAATTTTAAAATTCATTAAAAATTGAAGGAAATTCCAATTATTTGAGGAGAGCACCGCAACTTATTTCCATTTTCAATATAACCATGACAATTCACTACAGAATTACCTATAATTTTCAACGAATTGAAAACTCAAGAATATATTTGCCTCAATTTTCCTGATTTGTATCAATATTCGTGGAAAAATTATACTAAAAATTACAGTTTACATCGATTTGTTTCCATGAAGAAATTCCTTGAAATTTCAGTGGAACCATACCACGAGGAAATTTTCCATTTCCACTGAGTGTGCCGCTAATTTCAGCCGAAATTTTTCAAACACTATATCCAAAGTAAAGGAAACTAGAATCATCGAATCGATCTAGCAACAGAGCGACATCTACCGTTGCACCCAGCCAAATTTCCAGTCATTCCTAGTCAATGGGAANGGTTAAGTTGTAGAGAAGGCCGCTAGAGGCGCTGTACAGCTCATCCGACTATACGTTTACCCGAACGCAGAGCGCATGCCCAAGTGGGGGGAACGTCAGGGCACATGGTGACGCCCACTTTATCGCTCCTAGGATGGGTAAGTGAGATTTACCCTCCTTGGAGCACCGAGCGTCTCATTTACCCTCCTTGGAGCACCGATTATTCAAGTGCCGCGGTAAACTCTCTTTACCCCCTCTCGACAGAGCCCGAGTAAGCGCCGTTTATCGGGCCGAGTGACGAAAAAGTTCCTTTACCGACGACTGGGATTTAAAAAAAACAGGGAGGCTCTGTGTCTAGGCCAATGACCCTGTCGTTGAGAATCTCCTGACCCATATATTACGGCATTCTGACGTACATCTGTGCGTCTCCCTCGGCAGGCAAACATGTATCCGGCCTCGCCTCGAATTCCAGCTGGGTGAGGGACAAAGAACGCAGAAAAAAATACTCTCAAGGGGCCGGGGGAGGCGGAGGGAGGGAACCCATTGAAGGGATAGTTATTTAATTGCGTTTCATCCGAGCCTATCACAATGATAAGATAACCGCGCGGTATCAGTCAAAGTTCCCGGGAAGTTGGTTTTAAAAAAAAAATTGCATCCTACAGAGTTGAATAGTACAGGGGGAGTGTTTGTTATCACGTCACAGTTCATTACTTACATAATTCAAGCGTTTGGAGTGTCCGTGTCCGTGAAAATGAGCGTAAATAACACCGGCAATGTGGCAACGTAAACAGACATACGATAATTTATGTAGACCCTGAACGAAAAATCGAGGGGAAATGCCTCTCGTTTGGACGGCATTCTTGCCATGCAATCATTAAACGGGTCACTCATGACCGCGTTCCTGGCCCTTCCTCCACGAATGAGAGGGCCACTATCTCATGAGAGAAAGAGAAAGAGAGAATAACTGGAAATGGTGTGTGTGCAATCGGATATCGTGAATCTGAACTAGTGCGTGATGCATATTCATTGAATACCCGTAGATTTGTATACGCGATATTTGAATAGTCAATCCGGCAGCTTGAGAAATCGAGACAATGTCCGATGTTCTGCGACATCTTGAAGAATCATGAAAGAACGAATAGCTACCTGACGATTGTGGGGTTTTAGAATGAATGACGGGATGCAAATAAATTCCAGTGATGAAACACGGTTTTTCATCTCAGAGATAGATATCTGTGGAGGTCAGACATCTACTCCGACGAAAACGAGGGTTTCTTCGTGCAAAGGAATTACAGAATCATGATGCAAGATGACAGGAATTTTTTTCCCCGTCGAAAAATTCCCAGAAATTTTTTCTCCGTCAATCCTTTCCCGACGAATTGTTCTCATAGAGATTAATTTTCGTTACGAATTTTTTTCATGTGGGGTTTTGTTTGGAGTTTTTCCTCAGAAAATGCTAATTGATTTTTTTTCTTTCTCTTAGAACGAGAAAAATGAAAAACATAATGACAAAAATGGTTTTTTTTTTCATTCGCGATTGTTTCCTCAATTCATTGTTTATGACCGACCAATGTTGATATGAAAATTTTAAATTCACATTCAATTTTTTGTATGTTGCTGATTAAAATGAAAATTGAGAATTTTAGCTTGTTTGAATTTTAGTAATTTTGTCTGGTTGTAGATATTCTATTTGAAGAATTGAATTATATTTTGCCGAAAAGGTGTGTGTAAATTATTCATGATGTTCAGAAATTGTCGACTTCACGAAAATCCAAAGGAAAAATCCAAGGGAAAAATTTCCGAGATTTATCCAAGGGAAAAATTTGCGTGATTTTTCTCCGGAGTATTTTTCGCGGGAAAAATATATGGGAACCGACAGGAAGGAGGATGGAGTTGGGGGGGAAACTCTTTGTCTGATCAATTCTGAAGGGTCGATATTTCTGGATTTTCTAAGGCCACCGACCCGATTCAGCTATATTAGGATTCAAACGGGCTTTTGTGAGAAAAGGGTCAGTAAGTAAAATGAGGAAAAGGAGAATCTCCTTGAGAGATTCAGTGGTAACCGAGAAGAGGAAATGAGATTATGGAAGAGAGAGATCAATCCTGCGTGATGTTTATCAGTTTAGGCGTCTGTTTTAACGGAATAGTATTGGAAAGGAAGGGAAGGCGTACTGCGTTAGTAGTTCTTATTCTGGGGATTACATTTGGATGAACACGAAAGGATCTGGATCATGATGCAATGATGCAAACATACTTCTGGGGAAGGAACTCGATATTTTTTGTTATCGAAATAGAATTACGAAATTGTATTGAGTAGAGGACTGTCAGCGTGGGAGTGTTTATCTACGGATTTTATTTGAGTGAAAATAAAGGGATCTTCTGATCCCTTCGGGGAATGAAGCTAAACAATCATGATGCAAATATGTTTCATTTCGGGAGGAAAATCATAATCAATTTTCAAGTGTCAATATTTCTAGATGTTTCCAAGGTTCCTGACCCAATCCAAGTAGTTTAGAATTGAAATTTATCTGTGAGAAAAGGGTCAGCACGAAATTTTCAATCTTCCTGAGAAATGAAGTGTATTTAGCATCATGAGGCAAACAGATTTCATTTGGGGAGGAAAATCTTTGCACAATTAGTTTTCAAGCGTCAATATTTCTCGATTTCTCCGAGGCCAGTAGTCCAATCCATCTATTCTAGAATTAAAATTGTTCTGTGAGAGAACAGCACGAAGCATCTTCCTGACACATAACCTGTGTTTACGATCAAGAAGGTGAGGGCACAGAGTTAAATTGGAATATAAATGCGAAAAATGAATCCTCGCTATTCAATTTTATCGAAATAGAAATACAAAATCGTGTTGACCAGAGGACTGCGAACGGGCGAGTGTTTACCTACGTTTTATATGGACGAAAACAAAGGAATGTACTAAACTCAAGCGTCTGCAGAAGAAATTTTGTACAATGAATTCCAACTGTGAATATTTCAAATGAAATAAAGTGGTTCAGTCCCACTGGAAGATAACATCACGAGGTTAGGGAAATGGATGAGAAAGACAAATCCTTCTGGTGTTCATAAGTTTAACTTTCTATTTCCTCGAAATAGAATTAGGAAAATGGATGGGGACTGCGAGAGTAGGAGTCAATGCCCTTTGAATGACAACAATATCCACCCGACCCTTCACATAAATCCCTTATTGTATTTATTATCGACTTTTTAACTGTCGAATTGTGTTGTTTTGGTTCTCCCTACGATTCCGTTAAACAGCCCTAAAAATACTCGGAGGGGATCGATAATTCATCAGGGTCACTGAAAATACCATAAACACAATTCAGGGGGATATATTTAACGTTGAAACATACCTTGAGCTGAGAAAAATGCCAGTGACACGTCGTACGATGAAGCGATATTCGGGATGTCTTGCACAGCCACCGAGGGCTTTAATTCTGTTCGTCATGAAATAATCAACATATTACACTTGCACAGTTACGAGGTTAAACACTGTCGCGGTATTATTGATGTTCGCTTCGTTGAGGCTCACCGGTTTTTGGTAATGCGTCTTTACGGTTAGTTTTAGTCAGACGATTACCGATGTAGTGCAGCGACACTAGTCTGCCGCCGCCATCTTTCGACTGTTGGCGCAGGCAGCGCAGTTCACTCACGGAGCATGCGCGGGGTTTAGCGCGGTTTGACTAGCGACGAGCCGGGAAGGTTTGAGCTGTGCTATTACGGGAAAGGGATTAAATTTGCTTCAGAAAAATGTTTTGTCGACTCAAATGATTATTTTGTAGATTTTTTAGTATATTTCTGAGGGACTCGAATGAATATGAATTATTTTCTTGTTGAAAGAATCCAGTAGCAAAGTGGTAAAACGGTTTAAGTCAGTTCAGTCTTTAGTTGAGTTTTCCAGAAATATTTTCGAATTTAAGGGCGATAGCGAAATTTTCATAATGACCTTGTTAGAAACGCAACTAAAATTCAAAAACAAGTTGTATCAAATAATTTTCGATGAACGCGGGGAAGGAGGTGGTACCCACGCGTTTACAGATAGGATTTTGAAATAATTTTAAAAAATAGAGGAAGTGGAAAAACATTAGCATTTATCGCCTAGGTTACGATTTCAACAAGAAAAAAATTGAAGTGCCTTAAGGCGGGCCACTGAAGATACTAGTCATTGATTACTCAGGATAAATCAATTATCAATTAGTCAGAAAATCAATCATTTTAGTCATTATCAGAATTTGATTTATAAAGTTTAAAAATATCCAGAATTTTTGCGGTCAGTTAATAGTATTATCGGCGTTTAATTATAATTTTATGGATTTTATCGTTAGTTAAATAGTTTTATCGTTTTTAATTATAATTTTATAGATTTTTAATTCTGTTTCCGAGTAATTTAAATGGATATAGAGTATTTTTTCGTTGAAAGAACCATTGATAACTGCTTCATAATTTTAGTTATCATCAGGATTTGATTCATAAATGTTGAAAAATATCTGGCATATTTGTTGTTGGTAAATAGTAGTATCTGCGGGGAAAGGATTAAATCTGCTTGAGAAGAATGTTTCATCGACTCAAATTGTTATTTCATAGACTGAGATTGATAACTCGAGATAAATCAATTGTTAGCGATTTAGAAAATGAACAATTATAATTATCATCATAATTTCATTTATAAAGTTAATAAATATCTAGAATATTTGTGATTGGTAAGTTATCACCTTCCGTCGGTAATGAAGGAAATAAAAATTACATTTGTCATTAGTTGGCAAAGAAATTTGAAGAAAAATGAAGACATTTTCCATGGTAAATTATCAACGCGAGCGAAATAAACTCAACATTTTTCCCATTGTCCGAAGACAGTTATAAAACTCACAGCAATCAAATGCATATTCATGGAACAATTAATGATGATTATCTCCATCTGCAAGTCGAATTATCGCAACAAAAGTCTGCTCGACATTTACCTGAAAATGTTAATTACTCCAGTGTAAATTTTCACGCATAACTGAACCATTTCAATTCACTCAAGGCTCTTCCGCGTCTGATATAATGCCAATCGTACAAGTCATAAAAATTACAAGTGAGCACTACGATCCTTCCCAAGAAATATCCAACTATTGGAATAAAAAAAAGGATAATATCCTTTATAATTTAACGTTAATGACACCCGCGTCATCGCGAGTAATACGTTTTCAAGAATGTCGAGAGAAATGGATGAAATAAATATGAATTATTGAAGCAGTCAGTCTCAATTCCCGGGGGGAAGTGGCAGTAAAAGATATTTAATTATTACAGACGAGAGGAATTTCTCCGAAATCCGATTATCTTTGCCATCTTCATCGGATTGAGACTGAAGAAGCTCGCGATATTTCTCTCAGAGATGTTGAAATATAAAATGTCGATACGTTCATGAAATACTGAAATACGGTGCATAGTGCACTGTTGCTGACAGATGCAGAAAAAAAATTAATTAAAATATATTAATGATATTCAATCAAGAATACGAGCATGAAATCACGGCCTCACCCGTCATGGAGCACTTGGTGCTCATAGCCCGAGATCTCCAGCATCAGTAGTAGGAATAATATTTCCATGCGGCCCAATGAATACTGATATTTTTATGAATTCAATCGCACCCACATCGACAATTTCAATAACGCGATATGCAGAAGGTTTTTTTTCCCTTCTACAAAGTAATCATAATATGCGTGTTAAGTCTCATTGGCTGCAGGTGCTGACAGGCCTCCAGCACGTGATATTGTGGCAACAGAGACATTTGAATTGTTAATAATTGTCGCTGAGATAACGAATATGATGGAAATTCAGGTGTGGATAAAAAATGAGGGGAAAATGCGTTTTTTTTCGATTTTTTGTCGCCACTCTGATGAAAAGAGAAGTGGAATAGTAATGCTACCTGTGTTGCTCTTGGGAATGAAGTCATTCTGTGGTGTATTCGACATATATCTTCCGTCGACAAGTATGCAGTTGATGCAGTGGAGATAATTCATTACAGGATATAATTTTTCTTCTAGGTGATATTATTAATGTTCAATTAAATATGGAGATACCGATGAGGAATTTTCTCGCTGATTAGAGAAATCTAATAGAACTGTATAAATATCCCAACAATCTGCGGACATAAATCACTGAGTTTACATTTTTTCCATTGCCCAGTTAAAACTCGAGAATAGAACAAAGTGAAATTCAAATTAGTGCTAATTATTGCGGTCATTCACGGGGGCGGAAATGAAGGGAATAAAGGCGGATTTTTTTTTCACCTCTCGTCTACAGTTATTTCTCCTCAGTTTTCTAGCCAACTCTCAAGGATGAATTGACGGTTCTGATTTTCAGGGCTTTTTTTGTTTTATGCCGGGACGAGAGGTGTGACGCCTACATTTGTGAGCGCGTAAAAGCCGTGGAAAGGGGTCAGAGCGTGAGGAGAAAACTGACCGGGTGGAAGGTGGATGAAGATATTTATGGGGGTTTATGCCAAGGGCAGGGGAAATGGGAAAAGTGGCGCTTTTGGGGGATAAAGAGGTTTTAGCGGAGGAGAGTGTGGCGGAGATGAATTTGTGAGGGGATTGAATGATAAGTTCTTAGCTTTTAGTGTCTCGTACGGATCGCTCGGTGGGTTTCGGGATTTTTAAGAATTAAATTTATTAATTCAATTGCGTGAGAAGCGCTTGAGAAAATTCATTTTTTTCCATTTTTTAAAGCGTAATTATGTAGATTTTAGTGGTGAAAAAAAGGTCATAGAGAATTCTCCGTAGTAAATAATTTTCTAGGGAGGAACAATGAATCTCGTTTAGGAAAAAAAATGAAGAAATTTAAAATTCATGCGAGATTGAATAGAACGCTAAATTTCTACGCAGCAGAAAGACAACAATTTCCTTATCCAATCAACATATTTGAATTTTTTATTAGTTGAAGGTTTAAGGTGATATTTACCTGCATTTCTTGATTTATATACTCTTTGTAAAATAATTCAGCAGCGAAGTGGTAAAACGGTTTAAGTAATTACGGTAATTACATTTGTTGTAGCACTCAATCGGCTCTACAAAAAAGGTTATAACAACAATGTTGAGCCCTGACATTCCGATTCTCCCTTCGATTCCGAGATATTCATTGAAAACTGGTCAATAGTCAAAATTGACTTGTACCATTTTACCACTTCGCTACTGAATTGAACTGAAATTCACTCATTGATACCCTGTTAGAAAATTACTCTTCAAATTTCAAGTGAAAACACTTGAAATTTTTAACGACGACAAAGTTACATGAAATTTCTGTAGAATTCTTCATTGACGAATCAGTTAATTTCTTGAATATTCAAGCAATTCTCGATTTTCAGGTCCATACGGCACTGAAAAACCTTGACAATTTTAAAAATTCAAGCAATAACCTCTCGGAATTTTCAATCTATTGAAAATTGAATTGTATGTGATGTTCAATTTTCGCGATGAGTTTGAAAATTCAAGTTTTCATTGAAAAATCAATGATTCTTCAACATGAAAAACCCAATTTTCTTGAATTTTCATGATGAATGAGAAATTTAATGAACGTTTTCATTTGAAATTCAATTCAAACTCACAATATTGAAAATTCAGATGACATTGTGACTGAAATTTCACGCAATTTCCAACAGTGTACCTGCCCTTAAAATAACCGAGTCTAATAATTCCCAATTTGATTCAATAAATATGGAAGAGAAAATAGAAATGGTGAGATAATTATTATTGGCAATGGAATATTATTAATGAATTTAGGTTGCTAACACTACGATTATATCTAATAGAGGATTTGATGGGCGAAGAAGAGTGGGTAATAAATAACATGATTAACCGCGATCAGGACGAGGGGCGACGGCATCATGATGGATATTCCTAAAACCATAGTCTTGTTACCACGTATGCCACTCGAGGGTCGAGAATAAACCTCAACTGCAGTCAACACCATTGGCAATTGTATATTCATTCTTCAGCGAGTTTATAAATAAATATCGTGATAATAGAATTCCGATAATGCGGATTTATCTTTTATTCATAAATTGAGTACACTCAATACTTGGAAGTATGTTTATCGGAGAGGAGAGGAGGAGAGATTTTCCAGGAAGTTACAAATGCAGATGATCCAGTGATGCTGGAAGATGCTGCGACATTTCTGAGAATTTTTCTTGTTTTTCTAGAGGAAAATTTGTGGAATTGAGACCGTAATAATGATAAAAATCTCGACACTGTGTTGGCACGCGTATACGCACGGTTTTATAATCAAGACTGGCAATTGGTTTCTTACAAATGCTGGTGTGTTATTTTCCAACTTCGCGTAATACGTTGTGCGCTCGTTGATTTGTAAATTGCTCACGTCTGACAAGTATAGATGGTTCTAGAAAGCTTGAAAGGCTAAGAATCAATGCAAAGAAATGCTAATTGCACAGATCGAAAGAATAGGAGGTGGCAAAAACTGCAGTGGTTCACTGAGAAAAATTTCAGTGGTAATTTTAATTACAAGGGAATTGTCAAAGAAATTATATTTACAGTAACAATAAACTTTGTACATTAAACTAGGATTCATCGTTCGATTTACTA